CCCTACACGAACTGAGTCGTGGGAAATCCTTCCTGATCCGGCCACAGGTGAAAAACGGGAGAAAACTGGCCCTTGACAACGGTTGCTATGGGCAGGCGGGGCGAACTGCTACGTGTTGGGAAGAACGTGGCCCCACTAAAACCACAGAAAGTTCCCAAAACACGTTCCCCCCAACGAAAAACACTTTCACTACCCACTAAGGGTCTAAAGGAACTGGATGGGAAGACATTTTAAAATGGGGGTGACCCTATTCGTCCAATTTTTAAAACTTAAAAAATATTAGAAATGGAGGAGAGCCAAATGACGTGTTCTCTCCTCGAGCGCCCTCTCCATCGACGAATAAAATAAATATACATATGTAATCTATATTTAGTCAAATTTTAAAAATGAAAATCAGGTGAAACTTGAAAAATCGTGCACTTCTAAATAAAATAAAGACATTCTATTCATTGGTCATATAACCTTTTAGGTTTTTGACAGAATACTAATTTTGAATAAACAGTGGCTCATTAATGTTTGATGAATGTTCCACAGCGGAAGCTATAGTTATGCCGGGTCACAATTTGCAAACCCAACCCGGCTAATTCTGAACCAGAACCCCCCGATCGGATTAAGGACGGGTAAAGCTTAAACCACATAACTATACTATTATATCTAGAAGGAGTACTGGACGAGCGATAGTAGCCACACTATGAGCGCCGTCTATGCACATTCATCAACTAATAATACACTGGTAGGTGTTGCACCCGAGCGCCACCACTTCTCACCTAGCAACTAAATAATACACAGATGGGTATGTGCGCCACCGTCGCTCCAGTTGACACACAACTTTGTATACTCAAATCAGCAGGGAAACATACCCATTGGCTTAAACCAAGCGACCCGACTCACCCCAAGTGGAGATTCACGCTACTACGAAAAAGCAACTTACAGAGGAAGCTTTTGTAGGATCTCCATCTTAGAAATTTCATATAAATGAGTCCCGTCAATTTTGAGAGATTCTAAGGCTAGGAACGATTCCGAAATAGCCTGTCCTATTCTTTGGAGACTTATAATTCCAGGAGGTTGAACTTGACCCCAGCCACAATCTGTATCAAGTTTCTTTAATTTTGGGAAAATGACGCCACTGCACGAAGGGAAATACTGATCGTAATGCCAGTGGTACTTTAATTCTTCCAGAGTTAGGGCGGAACTGAGAATAATTTTGTCACACAAGTCCTTCTGCCATTGTTCTCTTGTATAAAAGTGAACAAAAATTGATGTTAGATTTCTAACCACGGGAAATGTTTCCAGATCCATGGGGGGTAAGGTGGGTCTATATGACGAAATCCTGATATGGTCATTGAATTTCAATTTTTCTATAATTCTTCTATCCCATGTCCACAAGTTAGGATTAGAAAGTGGGACAATACAATTTCCAGGCTCAAGTCGAATCTCTACAGTTGTTATCGCCTTTAGACTGGGGGTAGCACTGTAATTCCACGATTTACAGACTAGTCGACACTGTTTAATGGCATCGATGTTTAGGAATTTACAGAGGTGAGGAATTACCTACAAAAGTTAATCGGTATTCATTACGAGTTAGCATGAAAGCATAATTTTTGAACACAATTTCTCCATCTAAATTGGAGATGTACATTAGTTTGCAAATGCATTGTCAAGCAAATTTCTTTGACTTGCAAAGTTTTTGAGAACTTGTTACACACTTGCGAACCTCGATTTTTTGTTAATGATGTGAACCCATAATTAATATATAATAACTCTTACAATGCACATGTCAGACATGTTTCGCACGGATCTTCTTCAAACCACCACTAAAATATCAAGGAACTAAACACAAACAACAATTGGTGCGACACTTGAGAACTTCTGCAGAATTCACGAGGTTATGAAGGTTTTAAGTTGGCAAAAACGCGCATTTTCACCATACGAAACTATACGGAGATCGTCTCTCCGCTTTCCTCTTACGCTTCTCTCCTCCAGGTCATCGGTTTTCACATTTCATTCAACATTGAATTTATTAATTTCCCAACCAAGTTCTCGTCCGATTCTTCATCTTGAGCTTTTAAATGATTTTCTAACACTTTTAAATATTTAAAAGTCAAATTAAATTCAAAAAATTAAAAAAAATAGAATCCACCATTCTGAATCAATTCTTTTAAAAAAAATTCCACTGATAAACACTTAATTGAACCTATTTTAAATATTTAAAAGTGTTAGAAAATCATTTAAAAGCTCAAGATGAAGAATCCGACGAGAACTTGGTTGGGAAATTAATAAATTCAATGTTGAATGAAATGTGAAAACCGATGACCTGGAGAAGAGAAGCGTAAGAGGAAAGCGGAGAGACGATCTCCGTATAGTTTCGCATGGTGAAAATGCGCGTTTTTGCCAACTTAAAACCTTCATAACCTCGCGAATTCTGCAGAAGTGCTCAAGTGTCGCACCAATTGTTGTTTGTGTTTAGTTCCTTGATATTTTAGTGGTGGTTTGAAGAAGATCCGTGCGAAACTTGTCTGACATGTGCATTGTTAGTAACTGTGCAAGAAATACCGAGTTTATATTTTCTCAAAAAATAAAGACTTAATAATCTTACATCCGGAATTAGAATGGGGCCAGAGTAATGACAGGCAGTGGGGTCGTCTTCAACATCAGAAGAGACCTGGAAATTTTTTCCCTCCAAACATTACAGAAATATGTAACTTCATATGTAATTTCTAAGAAGCATATTTAAAAACCTCGTATATGGAGTAACTTACTTCAGATTCCTCTGTCCCCAACATCACTAAGATTAAAGTACCTTCAGCTGAATGAATTTTAATCAAGAAGTAAATTTCGGGTTTATGTTAAGTGTAATATTCAAAGTAAATAACTTTGACTTTTATTTTGTACACATTTTTATAGTAAATATTATTGTCCAAGGGTTAAATGGGTTCGAACCTCTGCCGCTCCTATGCTTTGTCTCCTATGCTTAGGGAACGTCCATACTTACTGGGCCCACTGTAGCTGTAAGTAGCTGTTTTCTTCGAAACGGCTAGAGATAATGAAATTCTGATGACTGCATTGGATTCCCCGTGCGATTTTGCATAAGAACCACGAATCAGTTTTTTACTACTTGCAAAGCAAATTATCATGGAAAATATTGATTGGAAGCGAGCGGCGAAAATTTTTCACTACAAAAATGGGGAGAAAAATGGCGAATTTTAAAAGTGTGGCAGAAATCGAACGTGCACTATAATTTTGTCCAACGGACCATAATAAGGTTCATGGGGACCGGGTCGACTAAGAACAGTCGAAGAAAGATTTTTTGAAATCGTACAAAGACCACACCCATCATGAAGGCGCTGGAAGTTGGAATCCGAAGAAATTCAAGAAATTCCAACGGAAACCAACCTCACAGGTGACAGGATAGAAGCAGATTATCCAATGAGCCCTCAAATTGAACCTTAGACTTAGGTCTTTGAAATGTGGTACTTGCCACATGCCGATCATTCCCCAAAGGAAGACCAGATTAAAGAAACCCAGGAGTAACTTCAAGCGGTACGCTCAGAAAAACTGAAGAGGATTCTATTTACAGATGAGGAGATTATAACATCGGAAAAATCTTTTAACAAGCGAGTTGGCCTAATCTACGCCAAATCTGTCAGAGACATCCCCCAATATAGACAAAAGGTCAGAAAGCCACATTATCCAGGTTTTGTGATGATTTTGGCAGGTGGGAGCTAATTGGGGTAATTTCTTAACATTTTGTTGAAAATGGGGGGAAGGTGGGGGGATAAAATTTCTTAAAATACGTTTTCTAGTCCGTGGTACATCCCCTATGTGAGATCCAATTCATTGAAGTCGATCTGCCCTTGCAGTAGGACTTAGCATCAGGTTATAGTGCAAAAAATGACCCAAGCGTGGGTAAAAAACAAAATTCCGAGTTTTACCTCCACTTTGAAATGGTCATTGTACTTTCTGGATTTGAAACTCCGGATTATGAAAAATGTTCAAAGTTAGGGGTAAATGTGTGTTCTAAGTCTCATAGAAGCGTAGAGATCCGAAAATAATTTTTGACCACGGAATGGAACACTATGCCCAGGAATTAGTGCGTGCTTCAGCGGAGGACTGCAGGCGGTTTCTTCAGCGCTGCATTAATGCCAGGGGAGGAAATTTCGAAAACTAAAAATTTTGTTCTACTCAGAAATTAACTGGCTTTCAGTTAACAATAACTAGAAATTCGTAACATAAAAACTGTTGAAGCCACAGGGTTTCATTTCACTTACAGTTTCAGTGGGCCACCTAGTATATTATGTCATCAAAACGGTCTCCTATCTTACTCCTGTTAAGCTTTACATGTGTAGAAAATGAGTGGGTGGGTGGTTTAAAAATTCGGCTTTTTTGATGACGTAATATATGTATGTTCCTTAAATATTTCTCATGCATCCTGCTCCTTTTCATGCAAGACTACATATGCAAATGTAAGAATACAACAATCCTCCTTAGTTTTTATAATCCTTTGAAGTGCGTAGGCAAATTTGTAAATTAAAGTAGAAAATAAGATTTTATTAAGTGATTATGTTGTTCAGATTTTGATTTCAAATTCATATCTAATCGCTTGAGGAAGCCTGTAGAATGTAGGCAGAATGAAAGCTAGTAATTTTTATGTATATAAAACATACCATTATCCGCATAAACGTCTTATAAATAACTATACTAATAAGAATATGATGATTGAATATTTCTAATCTATGAATGTATTTATTGCAAATATTCGCAAATTTCCGAATTATTTTGTAACCTTCATTCGCACAGTCATAACAGATTATACCAAAAAAGACAGGCATTCATTTCATTTGCATGAAAAAATATCAGTATCCTTCCTTGTTGCTGACGGTTATCACTATTAAATTATTTATGTACGATAAGATAACTCAGAATTAACATTTGCGTACGTATGTATGTACATATAACTCAAACATCCTGCCCTGAGCATAACAGGATTATCTATTTAAGTCACTTCATTCCTCACTTATACATTTCCAGCTCAACGTTTTTACCTGATTCACAATCCAACACGCCAAGCTGCTAAAATCCCCAGAAAAAAAAATTACGAATACTTTATTCATCTTCAAAAATGGAAGTAAAAATCATACTAAAAGTAATCCTAATTCTACTCCAATTATTCAAATGGGTTAGTTAAATAAGAAATTTCTTACAAAAATATCCCATTTTTGTTACCTCAGATTAACTATTTTCTATTCAATTCCAGGCTATGAATACCACCGTATTGGTTTTGTATCGAGCAGGAGACGAGGGTTACTTTATGGGTGCTTCTTACAACAAAAATCATGACGCCGAGTCCTACGTTTCCGGAGTATTCATTGGTTTCATGACGTTAACTAAGGCACAACTAATTTCGCACGTGATCAATTATTGTACAGACCGGGACAATTTTTTTAAACGGATTCCGCTCGTAAGTATTCATTTCAACATTTGGTACACTCTTAGAATACATATGTGCATGTGAGTCTGCGGGCACTGGTAATAACAGGCATTACCGTTTAGTGATGTAGCGGTAATGAAAAATTTACCACTGAAGTTATTACCAAATTGATACTAGTGGACCGTCGAATAGATGTACTTATATTTATATATGTGACTCTATATTATTTTTTTAAATTTTATGTACGGATAATTTCTTAAAATTCAGAAACTTCAATTGTACGTTTTTAATTTGTAAATTGTATCAATAAAATGCGATTTTTTATAATTCCAGGAACTTATTATGTTGGTGTGGGGTGTGTTCGGCTGGTTGTTTGCGGGTACCATAATTATCCATTTTTGGGGGGCCTTCATCCCTTCAAATCATTTCACGGAGACTAATCCTGCCTCTGTGGGGATGTCCATGGGGATCATGAGTTTAGTAATTGGAATGATTTACCTGGTGGAATGTATCTTAATAATTGTCATACATAATTTGGATGCTAAAAGTGGACGGAATCGGGTAGGACAAGTTGTCGTTTATGGACCGGACCAAGTGGAGTACCGAGTCGTTCCTTCTCAAAAAACTTGAGAATGAATTTAGTAAAAAAAATGCAAACAAATTTTTTAAAGTTTAAATTTGGTTAATACTTTTTAATATAATGAAGGCCAATAAAGTTTGAATTAAATAAAATTAGTTGAATTGCAATAGACTATTTATTTTAGACAATGTCTTCCTGTGTCGCATATGTACATATTCATTAATTCCGAGCTGTTCAAAATCTATACATTTTCAATCAGAAGTATTTATTGGCCTTTAAAAAAATTTAAAACTATCATACTAACTGATTTAAAATAGATGGATAACTTTGGAATTCTTTAAACTTTCTCTCTATAAAATTTCTTCTAAGATGACATCCCGTTTTTAATCACCCTGCATAAAGCAACGAACGGAAATCAATTTTTTATACATGAAGAATTTTGCACACGTGCAAAATTATCCCAGGTTTTCGCCACAGGTTTTGCAACGATAGCCAGTCTACCGGCTACATAAACCAATTAAGTGTGTATGTACATTCACACGAATCCTATCGAATCTACAGATGTATGCACCTATATGTTACCTGTATCATCTCATCTCACATATAAACGGGAGTGCACATGGTAAAATTCTCAGCGATTCATACCATTCCAGCTAATACTCCAAAACCTGTTTCCTCCACTACGTAGAAATTCGTGATCCCTACTCATAGACGTAGACTATATTACCTTAACTAGAACTTGGATTTAAATGGGCTGGTTTAGTCATTGAGCTGGACACCACGATTTCTTGCGACGGAGAGAACCACACTAATAACGCACTTGTTGGTGCGAGATGGCAGATATGTGGGTGGATGGATGTGGTGAAGTAATGAGGTGAAAGAAATGAGAGATGAGACAGATATGAGAAACATGGGGGCTGTGCAAAGAAAACGTATACAATTTGAACATATACCTTTTGCATTGCAGTGAGATTTAGTTGCGCTAAATTATATATTAAGTACTCCCGCTACTTTATGGGAACCCTTTGTCTGTCTGTTTGTCCGTGTGTGCAGGATGGGTGTGGTCTGGGGCAAAGTGAGATTTTTGCTAAAATTGAATCTATAGATGAAATGTGGTGAACTTATGTGTTCTCGCGTTGGGTCACACCCCATCCGCACTGGGGGTGTGGTCTGGGGCAAAGTGAGATTTTTGCTAAAATAGGACTATACATGAAATGCAGTTAAATTATGTGTTCCTGGGTTGCCGTAGACATGGTTGGGGTGAAGTGAGACTGCGGACACTTTTTTTTACATGAGTTATTAGTAGTATTTGATGGATGAATTTGATGTACCAAAATTTTTGAAATTTATATCTTGGACTGATTTTTCGTCAAACTTTATTCAAAAAATTTTCCTGTGATACCATAGGACAGCAAAATTTTTTTTAACTTTCCGACCCGGAGGTAAAGCTGCCTCTGGGCCATGCCTCGGCGACCGAAGCTGCCCCTCAACCCGAAGCGGGCATCGATAGGCAGAAAGCTCAAGCAAATTTGTTCTTGACGATGTGATAGAATCTGAAATATAAAAAGAAAATTATGTTAAAAATGTTTACATATAAATTTCAACTTTGAATTAAAATTAAAATTTTGTTTACAATTGAGTCTATAAGGCAGGGGTCAAACAGGCCGAATATCTCCTCAATAATCTCCATTTTCCAGTTGGGAATAGGCATGCTACAAAAAATTATAATACTCTTATGCACAATTAAATCGATATGCAACTAGAAATACACAGTCAGCACTCAGATGTGAAGGAAACATTTGATATTTATTAACAATACACAGTCAGCACTCAGATTTAAAAGAAACGTTTGATATTTATTACCAATACACAGTCAGCACTCAGATGTGAAGGAAACATTTGATATTTATTACCAACAAGTGTACGAGACAATCAAATTTCAACATGACCGTAAAGATAGTAAGTAATTAATATTAGGTTCTTCACTAAATAAATAAATTCTTAAATCTTAAATTATTCTTATGAGCCCCGGACTACATAAAACAATAATGCTCCCAGCACCAGGCTCACAAGCTAAGTAAACATATTAACCAAACAATTTTATTTTATTGACAAAATGTTGTTAAGTCTTTAAATAATTAGTGAATTTTTAGTTACACGCTTAGCTCATAAATATTTACATATGTATAATCTACCCTCTAAATACATCAAAATCAATCTCCGTTAAAAAGAATTTGTTTGCTTAACCCATGCCGGCTAGATATCCCAAGAGAAATTCGGTAATCTTTGCCAGCATGATACAATCTGGTCCTAATATACGTCTTAACGATTTTCTTAATTATTAGGGTGCCGTGAAATTCCTTTTCCTTCATGTCGTAAAACAAATTATGGGATCCTAGACAAGGAAATAAGTACATACGAATTTGAAACTGATTGGCACTAAGCTTCTTGCACTCACTCAATTTTGTTGCTAGGTTTACTTTCAATTTCTTCACTGATCTCCGCCGGCGAAGGAGAGACAGTTTGGCATTCCGTAAACGCTTTGCAAGTAATTGTTGACGCGCCTGAACGACTTTAATAGATTCGGTTGGACGTTTTGAGTAATTATGCTCCTCACGTGCTCGATTGATAGAGAAAGGAGTTAGGGCTTTGAAACTGGTAGCATTCGAAGCGACGGGTAGCGCGCAGGGAAGGAGATCACAGTCACTTTGAAACTTTCCGTCTGGAAAATAGGAAGAACATAAAGAGATGATCCCCAAAGTTTTTAGAAATGAAATACCTTGAGTAACGACACAAGTAGAAGAACCACAAAGGATTTCTCTGTGGCCGCCCTCTATCAAAAGCCGACACGTGATTTCCAACCGTGCCCCACTTTCAGCTATTCGGGTATCTACAAAATCAAACAATTATATCTCTGCCGCCTTGAACCATAAATTTGATATTACCTTTTAGGCTTCCCTGAAGTGACATGTTGCAAGCTATTCGTACATCAATTGGCGGGTCCTTCACAGGTGAAGTGGCGTCAAGATGTTCGGTAGGGATTGCTGTTGGTAAGAGCTGTGATCTTCTCATCTCCCTCATAAGAAAATCCGTCGACTTGAAGTGTCGGGAACATATTGTATGCTTTTCGAGATCGGAGGACATAAAATCGGGAGGAAGAATTGGATGAAGAACCTCAATCCACCGTTTACAAACATTTGTGTGAATTTTCTTTTGCGGAAATCTGTTAAAAAACTTAGATATAGTAGCCGTAAATGCATTTATTGAATTTATTTGTTATGTAACCTGTGATATGAGAGCAAAGGTTCCTTGCTTCTCATTTCTTTGGTGCAGCCCGGCACTAAACAACCTCCTCGGGATTGCTGAACCATCTATTAAATATTGTATAAATCATTAAATTTACTTCGCAAAAAATCGCAATTTCTCTAATATCTATTAAATATTTTGTAAATCATTTAAGTTTAATTCGCCAAAATCTTAATTTCCCGAATATTCAATTTGTCGTACATAACTAAAGAATGATCCCTTGGTTAAAAAAATTCACGTAAAACGTTTCGATTTAAAGAATTCCAATATTTGTTTACATGTCTATATCTAAATTGGTTTAATAATTTACGGCACTTGATTATTTTATTAACAACTATTCAATTACCATAAAATCTCAATTTCCCCAATATTAATTGTTTTTACGTAAGTAATGAACGGCCATATATTTTAGAAAAATTGACGTGACTCGTTTCGGTTTTAAGAATTTCAATTTTTTATAAATATAATCATTAAAATTGCATATTAATAATTTACGACATAATGCAATTATAAAATTCACCAAAAATCTTAATTCCCTCAATATTCAATTTGTCGACGTACTTACTGAATGGCCCTTTTTAAGAAAAATCGACGTGACTCGTTTCGATTTTAAGAATTTCAATTTTTTTTACATGTCATCATCAAATTTTTATAGTACATATTTTTTCAGAATGCATACGCTTTAATATAAAGATATGTATGTATGTACTTACTTTATTTAATTTGTCCAGCAATCAAATTTCCAACAAAAACACAAACACAAACTAATTCCTTTAATTTTAGTCTTATCACCAAATATAGTTTAATTTTGAATGAATAACTTTTATGAAGTTGGAGGTGGATTTTCTGTATTCAGCCGTTCAGGATTGTAGTGTGAAAATAAGTGTTAAATTTTAAATTTATCTTTACAAATGGACAGTAATTTATGACGTAATGAAAGTTAACCAGTTTTGTTTCTAATGTTGTAAGATATCTCTCGAAAATATAAGTCTTATTGACAAGTTGTTTACACGTGCCGGAGTAGATTCAAAAGATTCGTGCCATAATCATCATCATTATTTTTGGTTGTCTCTGCGAGCACCCGTGGTGCTCAGTCCATACACGCAGATCCCCCATACGTAATCATTGCATACGAGGTGCTTAGTGCGTAATCATTGCATACTAGGTGCTTTTATTGTCCGGTAAAAATTGTATTACTTAAGATATGGTTACAATTTAATACCGAGCTATAACTACATACAAAATTGGTATTACTTATCAATACCGATTATTATTGGTAGATTATTATATATGAGTGCTGCCCTGAATCGGATTTCTAAGAGTGTACAAAAGCTACTTAGCTTCCATTACCAACAATAAATAAGTTTTTATTAATAAATATTCTGTTTTCAGCTACATTCTACAAAACGATCGCTTTTATTCAGCTTGCTGCGGCAATACTATTTTTCATCATGTCATGTCTAATGCTGCATGGCTATCGGGCCGTAAGTGAAACGTTGAATTTCTACGGAAATTAAATTTATGATGTGGTTACATATCAATTTTATGTTTTTATGAAAATACATAAATATGTAGAGAAATCACCGTTTCATCATGCCATGGTTGGTTTCCTCTTACATATTACTGGGAGTCAGCCTTCTGTGGATGATCGTCACGCTGATAATACTCGTACCGACTGGAGGACTTGTAAAGCTAATTATGGCGCCTTTCGTCCTCTCCTGTGCACTTCAGTCCTACTTCATCTTTGTGGTTCACCGATTTGTGGATGAATTGAAGAGTGGAGATCCGGATCAGGTTTAGAGGATTAATTTGTGTTACAAATACCGTAAGAAATCTTGCGTAGTCGGGTAGATATTGATTGCTAGGTATTACAGTTGTTACCGTGCGGTTTAAAAATTGTACCGGTCGCGGTCCTTAAAAAAACTTTAAACCGAGAAGATAAACTTTAATCCCGAGCGTTTCTTAAGACTACACCGAATTGCTTATCAATTCGACCTTTATATATGAATACCGGTTGGTGTTATTTTAATATTAGACATCTAAGAGTGCATTAGGGGCCATCCATAACCTATGTAACACAAAAATTCGCGATTTACTAGACCCCCCTCCCCCGTTAACATGTGTAGCATATGGCAGGCCCGACATCTCGGGAGCCTTAGACCTCTCCCCTTCTTGCGTCACGTAATTTGTGGACGACACCTTGCTAGAAAGGAGATCTCGAGTGTGTATGGACTGATTAAGGTTTAATTACATATGTAACTCTTCACGTGTAATGTTTGTACATAAATTATACTCCATCACAAAATATAAACATAGACCTGGAATAACTGGATAGAATTATTATACTCACGTTTGTGTTTGTAGACCGATATGTACATATGTGTGTATGCAAATATATATGGATAACCATTTGCAAAATATTATGAATAAACAAATTATGTATAATTTTGGGAGAAATATTGTTCAAAAGCATTATGTATGTATGAAGATATTTATGCAGACAAAAAAAACTTATTTTTTAAATAGTGTCAAGCTTTCGAACTCGATTTCGAAACAGGAAATATTGCAAACCAATTATTATTTATTACCGATAGTCTCAGAATCTTGATGATTTATGTAAGTTTCAAAACAATTTACGATTATTTGCGATAAGCACAACCGTTAGTCACTACCTAGATAATTCGGCTTATTTTCATGATTGACTTCTTGCTCGTTGCGTTGGTGGAATTTTTTGAGGTACAACGCAAAAAAGGTCAAACAGGATTTTATCCAAGCAAGGCATGAATATGTATTACCGGTATCCCGATTGCTCGTGGTCATAACAATTTAATCATTTATTTATGATAAGATAACTCTGCAACAACAGGATTTTGCGTCATCCCATTCCTCGCAAATCAAAGTCACTGCTCGTACCTTGTTTTCAATTCATATTTTCATATCCCCGAAGCATAATTCGGTTCGCCAAGAACATAATTGAAGTTCAGTGACTGGCTAAGAAAAATTACCACGGGTTGTTATCCCGATCATGGTGAAGGATCAGGAATCCGAAGTAAGTTATTAAATATGTATAAATAAAATGTTTTTTACGTTTTCCTAATAGCTATGCACTAATTAAGTAAGCACATTATGTAAATACATGATAATTTGCTGCAGGGAGGAGATTCCAAATTTTGTTATAAATATGACACATCTTACCCGGGTCTTATTCTAGATGTAAGATTATGACGTATTTGAACACTTTTCAAGTTTATAAATTGAAGATGTGCTTTAATCAAAAATCATTTTTTTTATATTTATTTAGCAATTTTCTTGTTGGTTCGAACTTGCACAGATAATTCCCCATCTCTGCCAATTCCTTGGGGTCGAAGACATAAAGCAGTGTCGACTAGTTTGCAAATCTTGGAATTATGGTGCCACCCCCGTCATGAAAGCCAAGGCAGTGATCAACGTTCCACTTTATCATGAACATTCTAATGATGGCACACTTAAAGATGAACCACTTGAAGAAAACCAGGGTATTTTGGACGTTATTTCTGAAAGACTGAAATTCTGCTCGGTCAATGTCCAACTCCTGGCGCCATACACACGTCACACCACTCCTCCCCCCATCAACCCCAAAATCTTGAATTCAGTCAGAAATCTGAAATCAATTTATGTCCGATTTATTACACAACATGCCGCCCAGTGGCAGGCCGATTTGTGCGACCAAATTATACTGAACTCGTCCCCCACTCTGGAAGAATTAAGGCTTCACTGGGAAGGCAACTTCAATTTCGCTTCACTTTCTGGTACCGTCTTCCCAAAATTAAAAAAAACTGGGGCTACAATATGGCTCGGATCGGAAAAGTAAAATTGTTGAAGGAATTACTCAAGCAATTTCGAGGGTTTTCCCAGCTTTAGAATATCTCAGAATTAATGGAGGTCTTTTATATGAAATTTCAAAGATGGGAATCCTGCCAAAGTTTCCACTGTAAGTATCGTGCATACAGGCATAAAAATCCAGTATTAAAATAATACCAAGTGGTGGTCACAGATGTACATATGTTTGAGTCTACAAAAGTGGTGTTGAAAAGGAATACCGTGAAGTAAGAGCACAATATTAATGTCTGTGCTAGCAAATTTTAGCGGATCGGAACAAGTTTAATACCACACATTACATGATTTACTTGTTAATTTTCAGATCACTTAATTCTTTGGTATTAAATGAACAGTTTTACGTTAATGGGAATCAATATCTGCCGGAAATTCCTTCCTAATTGAGGAAGATTGAGTTCGACGGTGTTTGCTTCGATCACAACCAAGAGGAGGAGCTGCCCCCGAATCTGTACAACTTTTTAAAGAAACATTCACCCACGCTGGAAGACCTTTCCATCCGAATGTATTTTTGTTGCTGTTGCAATGAACAGGAATGGAAATTTCCAGCATTTCCGGCCTTGAAAAGCTTGAAGATATGTAACGTCTCTGCGCCCGTAAAGTCTCTGCGCCCAAAAAGTTAAAGCTTTGTACAATTCCTGACCAGGCTTTCGACATGGGTCTGAATATTGGTCCCAATAGTAGTGAAAATAGTGATAACTCTCCGATTACAATTGGTATACTAACCCAACTACTTAATGATAACACGAAAATTCTCACCAGCAGATTTGATAATCTTGATATCTCAGTCGCCCTCCACAAAGAGAAGCTTGATGAGCTTGAAAGTGAAGTAAAAAGTCTAAAGATTAAAGTATCCGAAATTACAGGTGAAAATGAGCGACTTTGGTGCGAGTTATCGAAAATTAATCTAATATTCTCAGGAATCCCTGAAAGAATCAATGAATCCCAAAAAGACTTATTTGATCAAGTGGCAAATGTTATTAAAGCAACAGGACACACGTACAACTTTGACACCGCATATAGAATTGGGAAACCATCAAAAAACTCGACTAGACCAATAAAAGTAAGGTTCTTATCACTGTTTGAAAGAAATGAAGTTTATGGAAATAGATTCAAAGTGAATAAGCCGACATTTATAAACGAAGATTTACCCGCATCGCTAAGAAACGATCATAGGATTCTACGACAGAAACGTTCTCAATTACGCAATCTGGGATATGATGCGAAACAAATTCACGTTGATTGGTCAAAGAGAACGATAAACAGTGGTGAGTCGTCTTTTTATCTACTAAATGGAAATTTTATTGAGAAGCATTATAAAACATCTACTACGCCGGCATTACATCGTGAGAAGCAAAGAACAAGTAACTTATCATTCGGTAATACAAGATCAAGTACCCAGCCGAGGGGGTCGCAAACCCCTGGAGTTGGAGCACAAGATCCCACTAGAACATGACCTAAATATAATTAGCGTATGGATGAAACTGTTCAAAATATAAGGAGAGAGATGCTCGACTGTTGGAGTATTTTCAGCTACTGATTTTATTAAACGCAGCTCATTGTCATACATATAAGATCATCATCTAAGTCATTCAACTTTTCATGCATGCATTTATCCACCCATAATATTAGGTGGTCAAGTATGTGCAATGATGCACATTTAGCGACATAATTCATATTATAACATACACAATCAGGGTTATTTTTAACACTCCCTTTAACAATTATTTACGTATGAATAATAATATGATTGCTTGGTCCATTGATCTCCTTGAGAGGCTGCTCCTCAGCTTGGCGTTGAATCCGTTTAGGACACATATTGCATTTCTTGACAAGAAATACTATTGCACACAGAAAAACTACTAGTGAAAATAATATCCCTAAAATTAACACTGTTATTTCTGATGCTGTCCAATTGTCATCGCTGAATGAGAACACCTGCAGATGCCTGGCTTCTTTTTGAATCCGTTCGTCATTTGTGTTCCAGATTTCATTTAAGTCTTCACTTAAATGACTCCAATTGACTCGCGGATTCAAGTGCCAGTTTACGAGTTCAGAAAAAAGAGGATCTTCTCGCTCTTTATAGACGACACGTAATATATTTCCCTTGAATTCAACCTCGTTCAGAGTGAATGTCAAAGATAGTGGCAATGTGAATACTTTGTCTGGACATTTTACTCTCCTCTTGCCGACTAAGTACTCTCCTCCTGGACAATATACATGATAAAGACTGTCAAATATTTTTACTTGTACAAACTCTTTTTCATCTCCAATTGCCGAAATCTGACACTTCTCAATCTTATAGAGTTTTCCTCCGTTTGAGAAGGACGATTCATTTCGACACTTGTTTGAAGTCGTCATTTCAATGTTGTTGTGAGCTTTTTCATAAAAAGTCTCATACACACATTCTTCTCCCACATGCAATGTGGCAACAGTCGGGCCTGAGTATTCCATACGACAGGTTAAATTATCTCGTTTCAACATTAAGAAAAACGGATCTGCTGTTAGTTTAGTGAGATTTTTGTTCACTATTGGCACCGAGAAATCCAAATTTATTTGAGTTCTCTCCTTGTTCATTTGGCATAAGTGAAATATTCCAAACTCCACTGGACACTCGTCTCCACAAGGCAGAGTGAAATTCAGATATTCCAAAAGGTCAGGAGTCATTTGTTTTTTCTTCCATGCTTTTTTCGTGTCCCAAATCACTTTTCTCCCCTCAACCAATTTACTTGTGAGGTAAGAGATTAAATATTGTATGGTTACAACTCCTTCCTTAAAGTGAAATTAAAGCGATTCTCATATTTATCGCATGAAATCCGATCACCACTGGTTCATATCTCTTTCTCCACAAAACAGGACTTCCCTCTTTGTGTAAATCGGTTGCTCCAATAGTTAAAAATGAGAGCAATAAAGCCATAAAACTCCACAATAAACTGGGTCGCTTTGGGTTGACAATAACACTGCACAGTGCTCTTCTCTTCTCTCCCTTTGCAGGAGGAGGAGGGACCATTCCCATCAAATATCTTTTCGTCTCAAACGACTCCCTCACCACTGATTTGGTTAAAATATCAGCAGGTTGAACTTTGTCAGGCAAATGCTCCAATACGACTTGGTTTGTTTCAACCAGATCTCGCATGAAGTGATGCCTAATGTCAATGTGTTTTGATTTGTCGTGGAATTCATCATTTTTCGCCAGTCTAATTGCACTCTGGCTGTCCGTTTTTAGACAGATAGGTTCATTTTCAAGTGAAATCATATCTAGCTCTAAGTATAATCTGGTTACCCAGACCGCTTCTTTTCCAGCGAGAGCTAAAGCTACATATTCAGCTTGGCAACTGGATAAACTTATGCAGGTTTGTCTCTTACTCATCCACACGATGGGAGAGTTGTTGTGAGTGAATAATACACCCGATGTTGATTTCCGTGAAGTTGTGTCGGAGCCGTAATCTGCATCTACGTACGCACAGACGACGTCTCGGTCTGCCTCACTTTCAGTGTACATAATACCAAGAGATTTTGTCCCTTTTAGGTATTGCAGGATTCTTTTTGCTGCATTCATATGTAGTTTGTTGTAGCTCCCAAAAAACCGGGATAAATAATGCGTGGCATACGCAATATCTGGTCGTGTACATCGCACTAGAAATAATAGTGAACCAATGAGTTGTTGAAACTCTAAATTTGGGTCGCATTCACTCCCGTCAAACTGCAAACCAGGCTGCATAGGAATTGGTAGTGTGATGCAATCTTGCATTCCAAATCTCTCAAGCAAATCCTCGATATACTTGGTCTGGTGCAAGAATATTCCTTCCTCCACTTGTAAGATTTCAATGCCGAGAAATCTGACAAGGGGTTGAATTGTAACTTTGAATGAAGCTTTTAACTTCTCAATTTCTGCAAGCAACTCCTTTTTGTTTTTACCAGCAAAGAGTCCATCGTCAACGTATATTACTACGTATATTTTTCCCGTGGATGTTGTTTTCATAAACAAGCATTTGTCGCTTTTGGATTGTACATATCCCATTTCTTTCAGCTTTGCGCTAAATGTCTCGAACCAAGCCCGTCCTGATTGTGGCAGTCCGTATAAGGTTTTGTCCAATATGTAGACCATATCAGATCCGATTTCATAACCTTCAGCTTGTTCCATGTATACTTCTTCTTTTAGTTCTGAATTCAAGTAAGCTGTTCCTATGTCGAATTGTACTAATTTTAATTTCCTTGCTGCTGCTACAGACAACAAAGTTCTGATCGTCTCATATCTGCTAACTGGTGCAAATGTTTCAGTGTAATCTACACCTTTGACTTGGTTAAAACCCTTCACCACTAAGCGTGCTTTAAATTTCTCAATTTCACCGTTTGGATTGTGCTTAATTTTATAAACCCACCGGTTTTTCAGCACCTTTTTTCCTACGGGTCGTTTTACAAGTCTCCATGTTCCATTTTCAGAATGACTTCTCATTTCAGAATCCATCGCCTCCTTCCACTCTCCAGCATATTTAGAGCTGAGAGCTGCTGAATAAGTTGTTGGCTCGGTGTTTGTTGCGTGCATAGCTACATTTGCGTCACCGCTGCCGGCTTGATAAAACTTCCTTTGTTGCCTCTCCCTTTTGGGTTTAGAGGAACTGGGCTGTGGTGGGAGGGAGGTGTTCACAAAATTACGGTCTTCTTGTGATGCTTCCCATTGTATCTCATCTGCCCATGTTTCGTTGTGCTGATGAACTTTGGGGTTAGTTTGCTGCGGAGAATTGCTTGCTGACGAATAAGTCTCAGCTTCTTCATCCTCTGTCTCACTTGCCCCGTCTGTTTGTTCAGTTTCATCATTTCTTACTTCTTCGGTAGAAAATGTAGTAATAATCTCATCAGGTTAATCGTTAGTAATGCTCTCTCTTCGAGAAGCATTTGTTTCGATAAAATTCACATGTTTAGCTTGGTAGTGATATTTTCCTTCCGCTGGATCATACAAAATGTAGTTCTTTGAATTCGCATCAAAAGCGAAAGCTTTACTCCCAAAAATCCGAACATGCTGTAAAGTAGGTTTCTTTCCTATAACTTGTTCGTATGGAGTTTTTTCTGTATTTTTCGTACTCAAGGTTCTGTTGAGTACGTAGCATGCAGTTCGGATTGCATCCTCCCAGTGCGATTCATGCAGCTGACTTTGGATCAGCATTGACCTCGCTGCATCTTGTTCGATTCGCATTTCACGTTCTACGAATCCATTACTGGGACTGCACTGAGGTGAGTTGAGACCGAATCGTATTCCTCGTTTAGAGAAGAAGGATACCAATTCTTGGCATTTGTACTCGCCCCCATTATCCGATCTGAATATCTTCACGTTATTTCCGTTCTGAGTACGCATGAAGTTAATCGCATCTATAACATTCATTGCGGTTTCACCTTTTTTCTTTTGGAAATATACTTGTCTAAAAGCTGATGCTTCGTCCTTTACTACAAGGAAGTACGAATTTCCATTTTTCGAAATTGCATTTGCATAACCAAGATCGGAATGTAAGCATTCTCCTGGCAAATACAGTTTTTTCAACTGTAACGTAACTCTTCTTCTTGGACTTTGCTTTCATGCATATTTCGCACTTGAAATTCACATCCTCTCGCTTCATATTTTCCAGGCCATACGCAGCCTCTTTGTCCTTAGTATCGTTCAGAAACTTGGAATTAATATGAGCTAATATCTCGTGCCATACGACAGGCTTGATACAGGCCATCGCTCTGTTTACAATTGGCTTGAATTTCATTATTTGAAGACCGTCTCTTCGTTCGGCTTCAATATCACGCTGTCCATCGCGATAATAAATAATTTGATTATTTCCGCTTTTGCTTACTACTAAGCCTTTGTCGAGAAGAACATTTTCTGACAGTAAATTTGCCCCCCCTGGCACATATTCAACTTGGTAAATAGTTATTTCCACCCAAACTTTGTTAATAAGTGCTTTCACTTTCACTGCTCCTACGCCTTTTACAAGCATGAGAGAGTTATCGGCCATGCTGACCGATTTTGGGCATGGGTATTCTTTATATTCGAAAAACCAGTCTTTTCGCCCACAATAATGGCGATTTGCACCAGAGTCATTTATCCAAAGGTCACTTAGCCCACCAGCCATATAAGCTCCTTCTGATTTTTCATCAGATTTCTGTTCCTTCTTTGCAGAATCTTTATCTTTGAAGGTGCACTCACTTTTCCAGTGGCCCTTTAATTTACAGATGTGACATTTAGTTTTCTTTTTCAGATCACTAATTTCTTGTCTGGTTCGCTTTGGTCGCTCTTTCTTGGCTGCATATGCTTTTGATGTCTCTTCGACATGTGAAGCATTTTTGTACGTCTCGCCATCTTCTAACTCCCAGGTTTTCAACCTGGAGAGAAGTAGAGCTGATGTTTGTTTCGCAATCTCAACTGACCTCCAGGCCTCTCGAAATTGGCGAAACTTTTCGTCCATCATACTGGAAATTATCCTAGCGACCTCCATCTCGTAATCAATTACAGCTCCCATACTTCGCAGTTGGGCGGCATAATTTTGTATTTCAATCATTGTTTTAACTGGGGACTTGCCTGAGGTTACCATAATGCTGTAATATTTCTGCCACAGCACTTGTTTGCTCTCTCCACTGATGCTTTGGTACATCGTGTTTAGTTTATTCCAGATTGCATGGGCTGTTGCACACCCAGAAACTCCACCTCGGCGTCAGTCATGCACAAATATAACGAAGTCATAGCTTCATTGTTGCGTTTATCCCATTCTTTTTGAGGATCACCTACTGCTGCAGGTCTGGTGGATGTTCCGTCCACTATTTCGTTTAGGTCATACGACCTAAATAGGCTTGACATCCTCACTTTCCAAACACGGAAATTATCACCGTCAAGTTTAGATATCGAAGATGTGTCAAACTTTCTACGGATTGATTGCAAGGAGTGTTTTCTTGTGCTGGAAAGTTTGTACGTTTCCACGGAATCACATGACCTTTCCAGTTTAGACGTATTTCTTCCTTCAGAAGACAACTTTATCGATTCACTGAAAAATTTCAAGATTTGTTGCGACATTGAAAGAAAGAAAGAAAGAAATGGTCACCAGGTAGCTAAGCCTAGCCGTTATGTGCGATTCTTGCAGATTTTTGGCATGATGCGAGGCATTCGGCGACTAAACACTTAATAAACATGGTTTTTTCATTAAAGTTATATATTCAGAGATAATAAGAGTTACATACTTATTTGGACAGTTCTATTAAATACGTGTATGATTTGTTATACATACATATTATGTAAGACTTGTATTATGTACAAGTTATTGAGAACTATTGATCTACATATATACAAAAGACCTGCATGGTTTCCAATATATAGGCTTTGTAAATCAGGAGGAATATGTATATAAAATTACATAATTTTAAATAAATGCTAAGAAAATACTGTTCCATCACATAGTCTACGATGCAAGTAACCATTAACTTGTACAAATATTGTACGTACATATTTAGTTATGCATTTCTTGTGAAGGATTAGCCCAATTGCAATAAATACGCTGACCATATAAATTTAACCAATTAACAAAAATGTGAACACCCCGTGTTAGAGTAAAAAAATGCCCTGTCAATCCTGGTTTCATAGCGAAATATTTGTGTGGATTTAATATTAATAGACAAAGAAGTTTCTGGTTCCGTGACCTGTCACGATTACACTAACACTCATCCCTGCGGCGATTCAGTAAATTGCATGCACGAGTCTTAAAGTTAAAAGCTCGTTTCATAGAGCAAATTTAACTTTAAACTGTGCTTACCCAATGCCAAATCATTTACTTAAACTCACTTGTTGGCTTCTTCTATTATTAAAGTGGCTTAAGGTGCTCGATTTGTCTGTTCGTTTGTCCGTCCCTTTGCACATATGTAGACAGAATGTTTGCAGAACGCCTCAACATAATCAAACGTCATTTTCGTCATTGTGCTTCTAATTCTTAATTCTCGGTCTAGTTAGATAGGGGCCAATCCGACCACTCCCACGGCCGCTGGGCGTGTGGTCCAAAATTAAATTTAACCATGGGGAGTCATCTTGAAGGAAATTTCAACACGAACTCAATATATATTTACATTGCCGACCCCGACCAATTCATCACCGATTGCACGAGGTCAAAGGCTACACTAAATAAAGTTGAGTAAATTTACCCTGGCAAAGGTAAAATTTACTCAAGGTTGAAAGATTTTTGCTCAACCTTGGGTAAATTTTACTCAATAGTTGCCTTGCTGCAACTTTACTCAAAATTGAGTAAATTTTAATTAAATTTATTTAGAGTGTACAGATGGCTAAATACTCAATTGGTGTAATTTTTCACTTTAATATATGTAAATATGCATTACCCTACTTTCTTATGGTCGTTGAAACCGTTTATTAATCTATGATAATGTTAGTTAGTGAAAATTTTACACGGAACGAGTTATGTCTTCGATGAATGTAGGCAGGAATAGTCTTGCATGAAATGTTGGCCCAAATTCTTTGAATGATCACCACATGTACATATGTAGCCTAGCGATGAATAGCAAATGAAGTTCCACATGAGTTCCGGTCCAGTACTTTCAGTTACATGAACATATATACATATCAATAAGTGACAAGCTTACTAACTTCACAATTTGTTAATATGATGATACATTTGGGTTGCGACATGGTCATCAGCTCTATTTAGATACGTATACATATGTAAATCTGCAGCAACATACGTACTTATGTATATATTAGTAAAAAGCTGACTACGCAGTTGAATTAATTAGAAAAAGTTTAACTTGCAATTTGCAAGTTGCAAATTTAATTAAAAATTCACCTTAACACAGAAACAGAACTATACCTACATAAAAATCGAAGATTGTATCACTTTTCTAATCCTTCCAGTACAAAAATAAAATCGGAAAAATGATGGGTAAGTATAATTGTTTATAGTCATACAATTACAACTTATTTAAATACAAATGTACATAATTATAGTTTTTATTATGTAAACTTATGAAAGTATAAAATAGTGTGAGCTACTTAATGTGATTGAGTTCTCCGTCTATTCCTCAGTGAGAAAAGTACTTATCTTCAAAACGCATTGTCATAGTCAAACCCGGTTTTCGCCAATATGCTTGTAATTTTTGGTTCGATCGAGTGGTCAGTGTGGTCAAGGGCAAGGTTACCCTGGCGCGTGGTCAAAAGTAAAATCTTAATTTTTAAACGTGATGCCATTTTTAAAAAATCACCGCTAATTCAAAATCGTAATTAATTTTGATATATGTAGTACCATGACCATGGTGCAAACCCTCATAAATGCAATATTGTTATATAGACATTTCTGGTGTCATTTGAAAGAATATTTAACAAGCTTTGATACTACGTTTTTATGTGCGATTGACAGGATTTTATTTAACTATAGGCACCACACACATCAGGACCTCAGAGTCTCTCCCTTTCCAAGAGTCCAACAATCCAGAAGTGGACGTATCAAATCATCCGCAAAATAACGATTCTGTAAAGAAGATTAGCGTAACAAATCAATTTACAGGAGCTGCTGTTGCCACATGTCTGGGGCCCGACCTTACTGTGATTAAGGTATTTACAACACAGTTTTTGTTAGGTTTATTAAAAACTAGAACATTTTGTTGCGTAAATTTTCAAGGGTTTCTACTTCTTGTTCTATGCCGCCCTGGGATCATTATTTCCATTTCTGAGTGTATATTTTAAACAACTCGGATTAAATGGAGCTCAGGCCGGGGTGCTGATTGGAATTAGACCATTGATCGAGTATATTGCGGCGCCATTGTGGGTCAGCCTTGCTGAGAGGTTTGTGGAAAATATGTACAAGTAGGATACCCCGGGTAGTAGTAAGTAATACTCGCAACCCGACTTGAAATCCTTACCGGCTACCCAGCTGAGTATTTATGTTTCAATAATATCGAAAATTTTCTTAATTTTTTCGAAGCTTTTAAAGATTTACAATTTTTTAAAATTCTAAGTTGCAAACTTGATATTACAAAGGTGAAAAAATTGTAAATAATTTTAAACTTTATAGATAATTTCCACACAAGATATGACCAAATGTGTACACATTCGTTCCAAATATATTCTTTTTAATCAAGTACAAAAATTAAATGGTTAGGATTGGTAAATTTTTGTAAGGTTTTGAATTTCAAGAAAGAAAATTGTATCTAAATTACTCGCCCGGGTAGACCGGTTACAATAAATACTACCGAGCCTTGTCCGAGTATCGCAAAATGGACCGGGTATCTGTAGCATCCGTAAAAGAAGTACAATTATGTGTGGCACAAATCAATAAAACTGAGTTATCTAAATAGGAGGAATCGCCTAAAGATCTTCCTGCTAACGTCGTTATGTTTCTGGATATTATTCACTTTCCCCCTTGGCTTCATCCACGCAGAACCGGTCGCCTGTATCCATAAAGTTAATAGTACAGCCGCAGTAATTATGAGCGCTGACCCTGTCCAAGTTCAATTCTACGATAGAAAGAGGCGCGACATTTCAAATGATAATATGATACTGCTCGACTCGATATGCCACCACGTTTCGAAGAGAGACCTGCCCAACGCGAAAATGAATCCAGGGATAACCCCCAATAAAGTTCACCACGCCATGAATTACGATCCTAGTAGACATGCCGCCTGGGTTTCATCATCCCTTTCAAGTCAAATCTTTAAAAAACAAGATGTCAATATAGTTTTCTATCTTCTGTTAGTGTTCGTTTTAGTCGGTGCAGCACTGTCCTCACCGGCAACCGTGATTTCAGACTCGGTCGTGTTAAGATATTTGGGAGGTGAGGGCGGGAAAAGATACGCACATCAGAGAATACTTGGGTTGTGTGGATGGGGCATTGCCGCGTTTGTGATGGGGCTCGTCCTGGATTATGTCCCGTTTCCATGGAGGAAGTGTGAACCATTGTTGTAGGTAACTATGTAGTAATGTAAGTCTCGCCTACCGTATGTTTTTAGATTTTGACGAAAATACTCGTTATCGATCACAGATTTACTTAATATGCAATCTGTAACTGCTAATAGTTAAAGTCGACGGATATATTTGCAAACGAAGAGGAAAAACGCGTCTTGAAATTCACAAATTTTAGATATTGAAAATTTACTGCTCCATTTCTCTTGAAAATATCCCAAGAAAGCCCAAGCATGAACTCCTTGTATTGGTAGATCGCGTCTCTTGCAAATTTCATATGTCTTAAATTTCTTTCCGATTGACACGAGTTTGTTCAGAAGCCGTGACCTTATACGCTGGGAGACTTATCCATATTCTTAGTCGTTCGACAATGGGAGGCATAGTAACAACCGCGCTAAAGGGTTAATGTAACTAATTTCTGATGGGTTAATATAGGAGAGACACTACACCGTCTGTTTCTTAGCATTTGTTGTGCTAATGGGATTAGCCATTGCAGTAGCTTCGACGATGAAAATCCCGGAAGTGCAATTGTCAGACGGAGAATTACAGATTGATGTACGACAAAGTGAGGATGGCAGTGGATTTGAAAATGTGCACATTGATGAAGCTCAAGCGCCTGTAGAGAAGGTTATTTGATTAACCTTAAGGATACTATACGCAAAAAGGTGTAAAATTTATTAAAGCTTGAGTAAAAATGAAGGCGACGCAACAAATGAGTAAAAGCTATTCTACCGCTAAATGAATTTTATGTTGGAGAAATTTTACCAAAGTTATGTCATTCTGTTTCTTTTACTCGAACTTGAGCAAATTTTGCACATTTTTATTTAGAATATTACAAAACTTATCAATTCTATGGACAGGTCCCCGACATTGACATGACTGGAATTCCTGGTTCAACTGTGTTTGCCCAACAAAATAAAGCTATCTCGGGATGGCTTATAGTGCTCAGACATCCACAAAATTCACTAATTGGCATAGCATTCTTATTCATTGCCTGGATAATGGGGATTGGAGCTGGGTTGATCTTCACGTTTCTATTCTGGCATTTGCAAGTTGGTTTTAGAATTTTTACTTTTATAGTTAATCCATTAATTATATTTAACAATATCAAAATTAACAGGATTTTGGTGGCACCACGACCCTATTTGGATTGGCTTGCCTTGTAAATCAAGTTTCTGAAATTGCTGCCTATTTTTTCGCGCCTCAATTTATCATTCGATTGGGACACGTTAACGTGCTCTGTGTCGGGTTACTGTGTAACGTGGTCCGATTTCTGTACATCTCGTTTCTTACCAATCCATGGTGGGTGTTGCCGTTAGAATTTGTTCAAGGTATGTACATACTACTAGGTACTACTAGGTGTAAGAAATCCTGTATTAAAATTATAGCAAGCGGTATGCATAAATGATTCTCAAAGTGTTGATAAATAATACTGTGGAGAAATAGCTCGGAATTTACATAAGATTTACAATATCGTTGGGAAATTTTTATGGTGGGTATAGTATAATGTTGGTATGGGTATGGGTTCAACTTTCATGGCCAGATAATATTTAATAATGCGTTCATGACTATATTAGATTTCTAACAGTATGGATTTTATATTGCCTACTTGGAACACACCTTTGAAAACTTCTTAAAATAATTGAAACAGGTATTACACACGCCACAATCTGGGCCGCTAGCTGCTCCTACCTGACTAAGAACACACCCCAAGATTTAAAACTACAAGATCAAAACGTATTGGAAGGATTATATCATGGACTCGGGAGGGGTTTTGGTACAGTGGTAAGTTAATAACAGCTTTACACTTTTACACGGTTTGTAAATACTTTCGCTAAAACGTTTAGCCTAGAAAAAGTTCACCACTTTAATAAAGATATGTATTTATTACTTACGTTCCTAAATAGATCGGTGGCATCTTGGTTACTTCGCTTGGAACCAGGCCAACATTTATGCTGTACAGTATAATTTGTGCTATAACATTGGTGGGGTTTTTGCTCTTAACATGTTACAAAAAAAAAGAAATTGGACAAATTAATCGACTTCAAGAAGTAGGTCCACACAATATCGCTGCTGATACGGGAAGATCATCGAAATAGGTTGTGGCTCCACATATAGTGGGACATCTGATGACTAGAAAAGCGAGAGATTTTGATTAGTGGGTTATATTCCCCAAGTACTAATTAGTTTAGAGCATTCTCTTATTTTCTTCGGGAGTGCATTCCATGAGCACTATAAGAAAAATGTCAGCGACAAATGTGTAACAAATAGGATTTGATATACTCAGCCTGTCAATCTTACTTTCAAAACGAAATACGTATTCAAACCTTTACAAAAATAACACAAAATTAGTAATCAGATTTAGTGTACTTCAGAAAAATCGGTTAACGCTGAGGGCAAGTGGTGGTACTGGGTACGACTGTAAAAACCATAGTGTTCCATAGTGTTCTAAAATTTCATTGATAGCTAAGAATGTGTGTAATTAGTTAATAGTTACTTGAAAGGAATTAGGATGAGCTTAAATATGAAAATTATGTATGCGGGGAGCTGCGCTTATTTTCTTGTTTGAAAAATTAAAATTAGTCTGGTCAAAATCAGTGAAAACCATTTCATGTCAAGGCATTGTCCATACATATATTGTGCCATCATGTTCAACACAGTACGATGGGAAACCTTGTCCAACCTGCCATGGTTAAAATGATGACGTAATATATTGACGAGCCCATACTCCTAATTTCACAGAAAAAGTAATTAATTTTATAACAATTCATTTAGTCAAAATTATTGAGAACGCAGACCGGTTTTAGATTCTTCTGTATTCAGTTGAAAATTGCATGATACAAATACGCCCCTGAAATCTGGAATCGCTCACGGAGATGGCGCTGCCCGTTAAGCTCGTAAGACAGGCTGATGTAATACTGTAACCATATAAATTCGGTCATCCCGTGCTGGTTCCCCACAAACAATGGTGGGCATAATTGTGACATTTCATCTGATGCACACCTCACAACATGGGTCTCGTCGGTTTCAGGATGAATTGTTTCTTTGTTGGTATTGATAATTTCATTGAGGAAAACGCCTGCTAGGAAGTTAGCATGTAGAACTTTATGAGGTGCTAATAAAAATTATACAGCGAAATTTTACATCCTTAATTTTTATATTTTCAATTTGTAGAAGCTGAATTTAAAGAATTATCCACATGGCATTTGAAATTATTAATGTTCCCATTCTGCATGTTCCACTGTTATTCCTCATTTGCCGATAGGTCTCTTAGTAGTTGCAGCTCTGGTGGTAGCAGCTGGTTTAGTTGTTAGTGCTGCGGTTGTAGTAGTTGCTGGTGCTGCTGTAGTAGTTGCTGGAACATTTCGGCAAATCCCATCAGCCGTCTGACCTTGTTTAACACAAGTCAAACCGGTGTGGCATTCAAGATGGTTTACTGAGTTGAAGGTACATTCTGTCCCTTCCAAGCCACCACAGAGCTGCTTAGCATCATCCCAAGTTTGAGCTGGTGTATTCTTGCATTGACACTGACCCTTGATGCAAGCTAAGCCACGACCTCCGGCCGTCATCATCTCAGAACCGCATTCATATGGGGCACAAGATTCCAAGTGTCCTGATAAATAAGATGAGGGCAATGATAGAATTTCATCTAGTCTGCAGCAAATTCAACGAACAACATTTGCAAATACCTTTGTGGCAATAGCTCCCGTCTGTGCCCATAATGAATCCAGCATCACACTGGCAACTGTACCCAGTGTTCGAGGCTAAAGAGCTGTCCTCCAGACAAACCGTTTTGTCTCCACATTTGTCAGTTGCATGGTCAGGGATACAAGGGAGACCCAGTTTGATTGTACATGTGTTATCATTGGAGTTGTACCACATGTTGACTGGATTCCGGCACTTGCATCTTCCACCGTCGCAAATTAATTGGTCTCCTGGCATGCACTCAGCTGTAGTCTCACAAGCCCCGTTGGCCCCGGAGTAACAAACGGAATCTGGACCTGATGGAAGTGAAATTGGAATATAGTTTTAAACAGCAAATTGAAATAAATTTAAGCCGTTGCATTACACATAAGTGCATACCCATAACCTGGGGCCAGTTGCAGTAGGTCGCCTGCGATTTGCAGGAAACCATGAGTGCTCCAAGGATGAGGAACAATCTGGGAATATTGGACATCTTGGATATATTTACTTTGGTCGATTAGATTGGCCTTGAGATTGATTTTGGGAACGCGTATGCTGCTTGAATGCTAACTTGTAGCAAACACGAACGCTTTTATACCCGTGTCAGTGGCTTGTATATCCGAGAAACAATAATGGCACTTCCCATGTTCATACCTGAATGGCAAACAAAATAAAGTAAGTAAATAAATCAAATCAGCCAGATTTGTCCTTCATTGAAATTGAGATCAGATAGTGTATTTGAGCAGGTGCGAATTGAAAATCATTCCATAGACGTGGCGGCCACATCGTCCCCAAGCGAAATTAAGTAAGTAGACCTCAAATTATCAAATCACTCAAAGCAGAAATTGACTCCCACATCTTGACGTCAGCCTGAACAAACGGCCTTCACAATGAATACAATAATGAATGTTATAACACCATTGGCGGTAGGCACAAAAATAAGAGTATAATGAAAGATTGCAAAATCCAATATCTGCGCATCAGAATTAGAGAATTAATTAGTCGGTTTCTGTGAGTGAAGTATTTTTGTGAATTAAATATGATAATGAATCGAATATTTTTATGAATGAAATGACGAGGAGAATACTCAACAAATTTATCAATTTTTGAAGATGGATCTGGTCGAACATCGAGGTGGGGAAATTTTATTGACATTATTTACTAATTACCTAAACCAGTTTGATCCCACGATCCGAACAATTAAAGGTTCTGGATCGGCGGAACGAGTGCAAAAATCATTCTTATTGATAACGCTTTTGAATACATAGGCCGAAGTTGTTCATTTATCATGGTTAAATTTTTATATATCTTTCTAAAATGTTAATGCGCAGCGAGGTTGACAGAGTACAACAGACTTGTACCAATTAATTTAAATACAAAGTCGAACAAGTACATTTTACAACAGGGGATATGACAGGATTTGTGGTATTTATGAGTTTAACCTAAATCTGGCAGGAAGTCAATTACAATCATGCATAAAGGCCCTTTGTTAAGAATTTGATCCAGATGCGACGCGTGTATTGTTCAATTGGAATATTTGGTTATGTGCGGTTTTCGTTGTGCAATAATTTTAATAGATGAAATCGCCAATCTAATGAACACGACAGTCCGCCCGACAATTACAAACACTTTAGACTATTAGGTGTGATCCATAAATTATGTCACGTACAAAACCCTTTATTAAGGCCCAACAAGAGAACCTTAAATAACAACTTGGATTTTGAACAAATTAATCTCATTAGACTACATAAACTCACCATGCTCTTGGCTCATTCCATCTGAACCCACACGATCGTCCTCGCACCCATATTTGATATCTTGTCCACAATCATATCACAGTTGCATAATATAAAATAAAACATATCATAAAAATCAAAATTTGAAAATTAATTTTTTTCGCAAAGATATAGCATTTTAAAGAAAATTTGCAAATGCATTGAAAATGCTTTCGTCACGAAAGTGTTGGTTCAAAGGGGTAGGTTACATTTACAGATTTCGTTCATTGTTCATTATTTGCTATGAAAAATTTTAAAAAATTCAAAAATTCAAAAAAATCTGAAATTTGAAATGTATTTAAAAACTCGATTATCGAGAAGACGGACAGGAATCGCTCATTGAGAGATAAGCCAATCGATGCCTTTGGGCCTGAGGAAACAAAAAAGTTTAAAACCCCACGCGATTTTTGTCCGTCTTGGAGTTTTGGCAATTTTTCGAAAAGGTAAAATTAACATGGGCTGCTTGTGTAGACAGTAGTAAATAATTCTGTGTTCCTACGTGGCCGGGAACATTGACAAAGTGTGAGTTGTGTAGTGTTCTCTTGCAAAAGAGAGAAAATACATGGCCAGGCAACCACCACCACCAGGGAGCAGGGTTTAGCACCTCTATTTCCTGGTACTTGATCAAACGTGTTGCTTACAAATGGAATGAGCCTCTTATCGTACACGAAATTTATCCACATGAGAAGCCACAGCATCTTAGATTTTATGACAATGGTTTCCAAAATTTCAGTTCAGAGGTTGACCCTTTAATTTTTATAAAATTTCAAGAGTTTGAAAAATCTACCGCGAGTTGCAAATTTCTTCGCATTCTATGATGATGAATTTTGTAATTTTTACAAATTTTTGAAACTGTTGCTACAACTTCACACACATTATAAGTACATACATACAGTTGTTTTTAATTTCTACAAATTTTTCAAACTACTTATTAAGTGAGATTTAGCAACTTTTTGAATTATGAAAATTTGAAACAATATTCCTTTTGTAATTTTGTGTTCATTTCTTAAGAAAATGATTTCATAATTACACTTGATCGCAACCAATTAAAATTTTCAGTTAACAATGTTCTAGGTTTTTGACGAAAAGTCCACTTTTTATCATTGGTCAATATAGACAAAATTCCAAAATTTTAGAAGAAAAATGTATAATAAATTCACTTAAAAAATCCTACTAGTTTTTCACAAATACCGAAGCAAAATTATTTTTTTCTAGAAATTTTGGTCTCCAGGTAATTTGTGCAGTACACATATGTGTGTATCGGGGTAATTAGCCGTGAACGGAAAATAAAATACTACACAAATAGGTGTACTTCATCGTTAAGAGGTTAATGTGAGCTCAACACCGCTTTCGAGTAGAAAGTAGAACTTGATGTTTCTTCATCCTCTTAATAAGAATGTCATTAAAGAAATCTTTATTATGTAAGTATGCAGTTCATACTATGAACCCAGTAAACTTTTCAAGTTAGATTTAATTCTATTTTAATGAAGCTATTTACCATCAGGGTAGATAGGAAGATGCACATATTTTATCAGTATACTTACATATGTATGTGCATACATAGTTTGGAAAATTAAAAAGTAATTGCCTGTGGTCAGTATTGGGCAGTTCCATTCGTAATTAGTTGATTAAAAAAAGGTCATTAGTTATCAGAAAAAGCTTGCATAAAAGAAGAGACCGACCTGGTGTTTAGACACATATTTATTTTCCTGAATATTTCTTTGGTGATGCAAGTTGCATAATAAGTAAATATTGGCTAGATGGAACCCTGGAAATTTTTATTGCTCTCGTTTTCGATAATATTTTCCGTTCAAGGACAATATGTCAAAACTCCGTATGAAACAAATAACCCAAACGGAGCCGTGGATACGTTTGATTTCATAATTGGTTAGAATATAAATCATTGTAAATATTTAAGTACAATTTTCATAAGTTTTTGCTTGATGAAAATTTCCAGTTGGAGGTGGACCGACAGGGATTATACTAGCGACAAGACTGGCAGAACATAAGAGCAATTTTTCTGGTGAGATCTTGTATCAATTTTTTTAGATTAAATTGTTTCTTGACATTTCTGTGAAAATGATTTTTTGTTCGTCTCATCTTCAGTCTTGCTCTTGGAAGCTGGTCCCGATCCAAGTATTAACACGACAATTCCTCTGTATGAGAGTCTTCCGTTGGGACATTCAGAGACTGATTGGCAATTTACAACCGTTCCTCAGAAGAATTCAACGTTCGGAACGCAGGACAGGGTACAGCATAAATATATATTGTTAGAATTCTGGTGTGTACAGTCAGGCAGGTGTTGATTTCGCTGTGTTAAATTTGGTACCACTTTGTATCTAAATTGTATCTGTCCTTAAAAATCTGCCATCGATATGATAAAACTTCAATTAGTACACCGTATTTACTTACCAATTTCAATACCACCGTTGTAGAGTCATGAATGAATAGCAGCTGGTATTATTTTTATACTGGATTTATAAGAGTATGAATTCAGGTTAGAGTTTTCTTTAAATTTGCAGAAAATTCGAATCGGTCAAGGTAAAGAACTCGGAGGTTCGACCGCACACAATGGGATGATCTGGATTCGAGGAAATTATCGAGATTATGACAAATGGGCTGAATTAACGGGAGACGATAGTTGGAGTTACGATTCGCTGTTACCCTATTTTAAGAAAATTGAACATTATCGGGGAACTCTGCAACCTTGTAAGAAAACCAAAATTATTCCAAGATACATATGAGCAAGCATGTGCAAATATTTTGCAATGCAGGTTCAATTAATTCGAGTCCATGCATGACCACAATTTAAATAGCAAATACAAGATATGCAAGAATTATTTTTTCCAAATCATGTGCATAATTAAGATTATTCTAATTTCTGACAGCTGACGAACGTGGATTAACGGGACCACTCGAAATTACTGAGCAGACCTCGTACTCTCCACTCTGGAAGGAATGGGTCGAAACGGGAAAATCTTTAAAGTTTAACCTTACCGATCCCAACACCAGAAATCAGCAGTCCGGATTTTACCATACACAAGTCAATATTGGAAGCGTGAGGGCTGAGAGAAGTTCGATTTATGAAAAGTATCTGTTGCCAAATTTGTGGAGACCGAATCTAATTGTACTCCGGCACGCCTACGTCTTGAAGGTATCGGATTGTATTTTTCATATTTGACTACAACATTTAGCAAATTAGATCCCATTTCCGGATCTATCATGTATAGTAAACATTCGTATAATCCGATTGGATAACCATCACGACTGATTCCCTATTTCAGGTAAATTTCGAGCCAAACCCGCACGGAACAATTACCGCAACGTCCGTCACGTTTCTCCGACACTGGGAAAAAATCACTGTAAACGCTACCAAAGAAATCATTATCTCCGCCGGCAGTTTCAAGTCCCCTCAACTCCTCCAACTCTCCGGGATCGGTGACGCCAAACATTTAATCAGTGTCGGTGTCAAGCCTGTCCTTGACCTGCCTGGCGTCGGTGCCGAGTTATGGGACCACCCAACCGTGATAGTTGGGCCCTTCATCGTAAACACGTCTCCAAGCAACATAACCTACCTACCAGATCGTGACCTAACGCCGGAAGCAGTCGCCGAGTATGCCGCTCAAACATACCTTTCACTTTCATTCATCTGACTGATTTTGGTAGCGAATGAAAATGAAATTCCTGTCATTTTAATGAAAATAGAATTTCTGTCATTTGAGTGAAATTGGCTGAAGGATTCCGTCATTTCAGATTAATGACTATGAATGAAGGGATTTTCCACTCTTTCCATGCTTCATCCTATGCTTAATACATAGGGAAGTAAGACATGAAGTCCGATGAAGTGAAATGAAATGAATTTGAACGATAATGACTGAAAATCTTCAGTTAGAAATTTCGATGACAGACTTTTGAATGAAAACTGAAATTTTGAACAGGTACGCCGCCAAAGGGAAAGGTCCCCTCAGTTCGTGCCTTTGGTCTGGCTACGGTCTATGGAGTACCACAGGGAACCATAGTTATCCGAACATTATCTACGAACAATGGGCCCAAGGCGGCAATGGTGTCAGCACGCTGCGAGGGGACTTATTAGCAGCCCCAATAATCGATAAGGAAGTTAAAGACGTTGACTCCGTCAGCGCGGTGGTCAGTCTAGGAGTACCGCATAGTTACGGCAGCGTCAAAATTGCAAGTGCAGATCCCTTCGAACAGCCCGACATTGATTTCAACTTTTTTACGGATCCGGACGGCAAAGACTTTGAGGATTTAGTCATCGCGACGAAATTTATTGTAAATTTTTATGAAGGGTCCAAATCCTATGGGAGATATGGAATGAAGCTTTTCGGAAAGAATTTTCCTGGCTGTACTCACTACGAGTTTAAGAGCGATGATTATTACAAGTGCTATGTAAAAATGGTATCATGTGAGTTTTCAATTTTTACATAATGCATGATTAGTTAGTAAAAGTTATGCCAAAGTTTGTCACAATTTTGGAAAAATTGTGCCAAGCTTTACACATGTTATGTTCATTTTCTCACCACAGCGAATGGAATTCACCCCTCAGGAACTTGTAAAATGGGAAAGAAGGAGGACCCTAAGGCCGTTCTGGACTCGCAGCTAAGGTTTGATAATTGAATATTTGAAATTTTTGGATAATTTTCCTTGAATTTTGAATTTTAATTTTCAGGGTGCTTGGCGTATCAAAGTTAAGAGTAGCGGATGCCTCCGTGATGCCACGCATAATCAACACGAATATTCAAATTGCCTGTATGACTATTGGGGAGAAGGTTTCAGACATGATTATCAGCGATTGGACAAAATAGAATTTTTTTTTGCTTGAGTTGTAACATGTATTTTGGAGGGTAAATATCGGCAAAATAAAAGAACACGGCTAGAATTGTACATTTTGCAAACAAAATCTGAAAAAAACAAAGTAAAAGGTTTGTTGTTATTTTCATACTGGACTGCTAAGATTGTGCGTTATACCAAAATGTATTTTGGTATGTAAGTTGCACAGATTCCTCCTACTTTCAAAATACTATCATGAATAACTAAAGTCATAAAATTAATACGCAGATTTTTCGTGAATATTAGAAAAGAATTATAAATATAATAACGTACTTGCATAGTTACTTATATTAAATTCTCAATGAAATTATTTATTTAATTATCATCATAAGAATTATGGAAGCACATGCATAAATAATTTTACGAATTAATGCATTAACTTTTAATATAATTCAAGGTAATTTGCAAGATTACAAACTCCGTGTAGCATTTTCAAGCGATCTTTTGTTCATTATAATAATTTCGAACGGATTCCCAGTCATGGAATGGACCTGGTTAAACACCCAGTCCGAGTAGGCCGGAGCATACGCATAAACGGCGGGAGTACTTGCATCACCACACAAACTGACGTCGCCCGTTTGGTGAGACGCAATTCCAATGAGGATATTCGGCAGGAAAATTAGTGGGCCGCCGGAGTCGCCCTTGATATATATTTTTTACAAATTACATAAATTCGCTAGTTCAAAATAATTAAGAACGTTTTTTAAAGAAAGACGCGTAGGGCATCCAAAATCTGTTCTTCTTATTTAAAACCAGTTTTCAGCTTACCCGAAACCCAGAATTTAAAAAAAACGATCTGAAGCACTCCAAATCCGATTTACCAAAAACCGGGTTTTCAAAATCTTCCGACTTTGGATGCCCTAGTCAAAACCTCATACCTTGCAAATGTCCCGCCCACCACCGCGAACCCCGCAACAGATTTGAATATCCTTTCGCAAATCGTCATCATAAACGTCAGTATTGCATCCATCGAATAATTGCAGTTGAACGGTCGTCGTTTGTAAAATTCTGGGATAGTTTTCTGGTTCCTCTTCGTTTTTGTCTAAGCCTGAAAGAATAGGATAAAATAATGTTGAGAAATAAGTTGCTTCATAAATATACAGAATACTCACCCCAACCAGCAACTGTTAATTCGGAAAACATTGGAACGGCATATTGCCCATTGGCGGGATCGTTCGGATCGGCAAGTACGGCAGGGGCGGTGCCAGGAATTTGTAATGCGTCTTGACAAAGCTGTAAAGAGTACAAATATGTTATCGGGAAATATAAAGCATAGAGTTGGGTTTGTGTATCCGATCCGACAATATCCGATCCGTCGGGGATAGGATCGGATTTTTTCCGGATCTCATTCGATTTCCGGGTAGATTATCCATGTTATGTGGAGGATAGTCCAGTCGGATCGGCTGACCACCATCCCGAATAAAGAAAGATGCTTCGTATTATTAAGCAAAATACGTATTTTTCGAACATTTAGCAAAAAACTAAATTTATGTCGGTCGACGTAATTCAATAGTTGAGAGGAACAAGACTACAAATTTCTGAAAATTAATATTTCAACTTTTAAAACCTTATATTACCCGGATAAGGATGATATCGTTGTACAACTCTTCGTCATCAAACTCGAAATGCAGAACGATTTGTGCAACACGAATAAATTGGGAACGTGTATCCCCTTGTGAGATAGCTCTAGATGTCGATCCTACTTTGACCAGGACTTTCTCCCAGTTTTGTGATTCGTGCAACCCATCGAAATACAGGCAGTGGCTGAAATACCAAATACATAAATATCTTGAAGGGCGTGCATAATTAAATTGTGGTTTAAATTGAAGCTTTCACTCCGTTCACTCTAAATAAAAATGAGTAAAATTTACTCAAGGTTGGGTAAAAAAGAGAATGACACAACCCAAGCGTAAAATTTGCCCAAAGTTGCGTAAATTTTTACACAACATTGAGTAAATTTTACTCATTTTTATTTAGAGTGTTGTTGTGCAGCTTCCGGCTCCAGACGTTGCAAACAGCTTTCGGTTATTTAGCAGAAGCAGAGATTTGTGGTAGCTTGTGGCTAAAATTTATCTAGAAGCCGACGCCGAAGGCGGTTAGAAGATGCGCATCTATGCCACACTTACGCTGCTGTTAAAACGAAATGCCCCGAAATCAGCACGGCGCCACAAATTTGTTCAAATTTGTCCCCTGAAAATGTGTCAATTTTTTGAAAAAATTCGTATTTTTTGATATGCAACTATTTCTAAATGTAATAATTTCAACTTGCTTAAAGGTCCATCCAAATCTGGTTTGAACTCGTAGAGCGCAACCATCCAGGGAAGTTCGCCATTGTGCGCGTCATGTCCCCCAATAATTCTGGCGGTCGCATTTAAATCTCGACGAGTGGGTGGCAAGGCTGTAAAAATATCGTCCAGAATGGCACCCATTGATCCAGAAGTGCAACTTGGATCAGTGGCGGGGTCCTGGGCGGCCACTAGAAAATGATGATTTCGAACACTGATATAGTTACGTAGGTATTGATTTCTTTGTATTATAGAGGATATTGCCTGGTTTTTAAATTAAGGTTTGGATAAGAGCTTACCTTTGCAGAACGGTATCAAGAAAAATTGTGCAAGTACGGGCAAAACCTGTAGCAAGCGAGCTGACTTCATTTTGATAAGTTTTTGTATACAAGTTAGAGTAAAGTGTTATCTCGCTGAAGGCAAGCAAAGGACTGAGTTCAAATTGTAAGAAAAGTCGAACTTTGTAGGAGAGAAGTTTAATTATAGTTTTTAAATGGGAAAGGAACAAACATTATTTCACGCGTGGGGAACGTTCAGAAAATCTGTAACACGGAGGGCGAGGGAGGGGTCGGCTATTGCGTTACCGGCCAACCTGTGCCACATGGTACAACGTGAGTGTAACCTGGTATGCCGATGAGAGTAAACACGTGACAAATTTTACCTTCCGTATTTTATGAACTTTCCCTTAATCAATCTAGAAGGAATTTAAGTTTTGGGAAATTTTTTTAAAAGTAGAGTGTCTAGACTTTTGTTTTACCCCCCGCCGATTTTTAGGGTAGATGTAACAACATTTCTTTCATGGATTTTCCTAAAAATAGTGAAGGGTACCCAGTGAACCCTGACCAGTAATATGTAGTTAAATTCGTTTATTTCATAAAGAATGAATAAGTTATTCATTCACTACATTAAGAAATTTATGAACAATGAGTTAATAACTTTTTTCAAGTTTTTAAATCCAATGAATTTTAAACGAAGAAATATGTATATTTTGGACGTATGACCTTAGCATCATCATGTTTGACTGCATTGTGTCACTCACAGTCTATCTATGTTCACACGAACATTCGGCGTGTTAAAGTTAATTGATCTGCATACGTAAATAAAGGACCCTTTCAAATGTTGATTTTTTAAAAGGGCATGAAAATGGAGACGATGTATTGATTGATTTTATTGTATTTACGAGTTGATTTTAACCATGAATGTTTCTACTTTAAGTTGAACTTGAGTTGCTAAGGAATTTTAAAGAGACCTAGGTACATATGTATGTAGATACCTGTATATCGAGTCGAGATGGGATAATTTTTGTACAAATCTGACATTGATTGACATTTTCAGTTTTTTTTTGTCTGACCTTTTCTATGATAGTTGAAAAATGAGTTCTAATTTAACTTTTCGTATGCACCATGATATGTTTTGATTACAAAGTGCAAACATTTTTCTGCAAGACTAATTTGCTAATTTTTTAATAGCCTTCAAAGTTGGCGAAAGTGGGGGCGGAATAGGCGGAGTGGGAGCGTGTTGAGATGGGGGCGGTCGTGCCCCTCACTATACGTACACTCATCGTCAATATGCACAACTAAACCAAACAAAAATTTGAGCTTACCTCTATGAAAATTAACTGGTTGATTTGATTTCATTCAATTGTCCGAATGAAAGTGGTTTTCGACGTAAAAATGATGAAAACACAAATTAATTGAGCAATAAGAACATTTTATGAAAGTCTCTCTGTCGCACATTTCCTTCTCGCAGTCATCAAAACTTATTGAAAATAATGTTTCTGCCACATTCTTAAACTCCACTCGGTCGCTTGTATAATTGCAGGCAAACCATGAATATTTAAGCATTGCTTCAAAAGCAACCGATTGAAACTGGTTGTAAATTAGCGATTGCATTTTAATAACATTTTGCCTTTTATGTAAATCTATCTTTATTGAATCAAGGACGACTTTCTCAAAAATCCTTCGGCGAAATATTTTATACTGTCTGAAAATATATTTGTCCAATGGTTGAATTAGGGATGTAGCTTTGGCAGGGATTTGAAATCGGATGCATTCTTCCGGAAGTGAGTCATATGTAAATTCATCAACTTGTCCAGCCCAGGAGTCGTAAATGAGCACAGCTTCGTTTTTATCCACATATGGGGCTACACAATCTTCAATCCATTTTTTCATGATCCTTCTGTCGAGCTTTCCCGACTTCGACACGACCAAGTAAATATTCTCTGGGACTTCAAGGTGTCTGCTAACTGTTGGACCTAAACATCCTTGCGGCTCTTGGAGGCAGATAAGGAGTTTTCCCACAAATTTTCCACTCATTGACACTAGTGGCATTACCGTATAGGAATGGGTGTTTGCATTATGCGAAACCAACAATCCAAGTGTATCTTTTTCTCCTTTGGTTGATAAAGTTCGCTTTGGGGAATACTCGTAGGTGAACCCTGACTGGTCAAAATTTAGGACAAAGTCAGCTTGAACACCAATTATTTTTTCTTTAACATGCTCAACAAATGCGCAGGCTTCTTCCTCGACATTGGCTTTGTTGGCATACTCGGCTTTAGTTAAATATTTGGTTATTTTACGAGACACAATTCTATGTTTAATCTTAAAATTTTGAACCCAAGTTGAACTAGCTTTAAATGACAAGGATAATTCTTTAGATTTAATTATTCCCCAGCGTTTTAAATCCACTTCACTAACGTGTATTAGAGATTCTCTTGCAAAATTAAATCTTTCGAGCACAAAATCTTCTAACTCTTTTAACTTCTCTAATTTCTTGCCATTCTGGTCGATGTACGTCTTCATCCGAGAAATTGTTGCATAAGTTGAGATTTTAGGGAAACGTCGTCTAGTTTGAAACAATTTATTTGACTTGACACTGTCATAAAACTTTACAATCTTTATCATCTCTTCAAGATTATAATTATTGTGTTCGATAGTTTCAATCTCCCATTCCTGCGATGACGATTCTTCGGAACTTGTGTCGGTTTGAGCAGCACTGTCACTGTAAATGTCAATTTCATCGTCACTGGCAATTTCCAATGCAACGAGCGATTCACATGTACTGGTTTCAAAACTAAGTAAATTTTCCATTAACATCAGTCCTTCACTTGTTAAATCGTTAAGATTTAAACCACTGTCAATTATAGGTACCCTAGCGGTGTCGTATTTTTGTTTTGCTAATTCTAGTAATAATTCGCACACTTTAATGATTCTCGCCATATTTAGAGTGGTAATTGCTAATATTATTACTTAATTGAACATTTTCAGAAAATTTTTAACAAAAGAGAAAGAGCAGATGCCTAAAATAACAATAGAATTTAAGTATTTGGTGCGCAAACTGGGCAAACTGATCTTTCCACTTCGCACAATAGCATCAACATGCATCAATTTTTTTCAATCACTTAACTAAATTTTCATACCATTAATTAAATTTCAAGTAAATACAACTAACTTATTAAATTTACCAAAAATAAGTTACTGATGGATTTCCTTGGGTCACGCTAATCATAATTACCGTCACAGGTGGTTAGTGTATAGTGAGGGGCACGACCGCCCCCATCTCCCCAAGCTCCCACACCTCCTATTCCGCCCCCAGTTTTGCAAACTTTGAAGTCTGTTAAAAAATTTGCAAATTGGTTTTGCAGAAAAATGTTTGCACTTTGTAGTCAAAACATATCATGGTGCATGCGAAAAGTTAAATTAGAACTCATTTTTCAACTATCATGGAAAAGGTATCCCTAGTGAATGGAAGTTTAAATTCAAAAGTGCACACATTTTTTTCCAAATTAAGTGCAGGTTTAATTCATTCATTTACATACTAAAGTAATTTAACATATGTAAATATGTACATATATGTATATAGATATAAAAAATAATGCGGGATCTAATGTTAAAATTAAAATCATTTAACTTATGTAAAACATTTTGCATACAATACTTCCCCCATCACTTATTAATTATGTCGCAGAAAAGAAGAAAAATGCAAATGAAGATTATGTATGTACATATTTACATGCGTATGTACATGTACAAATGTACATGTAAGTATATACTTATTTATATCTGCGTTGATCAATATCAACAAAAATCACCCACGTATATATGAAAATATTTATAAATGAATGCACGTAGATAAGCATATAGTGCTACATTTGCATTTCGCATTAAAAATCGCCAATCTTTTCATGCATACGTTTCTATTAATAAGTATATGTACATGTACGACCAACATACACACGAAAACGGGTGAGAGTACGTGAGCATGCCAAATTTGCATGAATCCTAAACCACTTGCTTGTCACTTTTTAAAACAAAAGTGTGTCCAACATGTGTCCAAAGATTAATAATTATCACCCTTTTATACTTTCTCTTTGTCTACATACGACGTGTTGTTTGCTGCTCAAGAGGAGGGTAGATTATGTAGGATGATACACTGCCTTTTAATTTCACCTGGTGCTAATAATTCGGGTATTCCATTTATTGAATTTGGATTGGTCCCGTGTTTAAAAGGATGAGCAATAGTTACCCCTTGATTAGTCACGATTACGATAATTCTACGTGGACTTTTTTTCCAGAACTTGTCCATTCCTTGCCCAGTTGTCATACTACACATTTGAATTTGAATACCTTCTCTACATAGAATTTAAATATTTCTACTTCAGAAATATTGTCAGAAATATTGTCAACTATTTTAGTTGACATATTTAATAAACAAATAAGTAATTAGATAATTAATAGAAATAAATACAACCAACATACAATTGCGATGGGAGTAGTTAAACGAAAATGTAAAAGTATTGCACGCCAAGGTAGAATTTCGGCCTACAATGGAAGTTCTGACGAGGAAAGCAACCACGACAGCATCCCTGTCGCCAATGGTTCTCTGAAAAAGTGCGAAAAATCCGAAAGGAAGGCTCGCAAGTTTGGTAAAGATTTGGAATCAGAGCGTTTATTCGAATGTTTTGAGACCTTTCTGCTCTTCGGCTATTGGGGATTTCTCGTCCCGTTTAAAATAACGGAGAAAAATTTGGTCATTCATCCAATTCGTGGGGTAAGCGGAAAAGATTAAGCTTATCTATTTATAAAAGTGTACTCTTAGAATTCCAGACCATATCGTTATCAAATTTTCACGCACCGGTATATTTTTAATTCCAAACGGTAGCAACTATAATAAAGAGAAATTAATACCTGCCTTACTACATATACCTGATTTCTAACAGTGTGCCAATTTTCGCTATTGATATTGCAAATTTTTTATTTTCACAGATTGTGATCCAAACTCTGCTAATTTTCGCAATTCTGACCACAATCTCCAACTTTACGGAGGAATGGGACAAATGGGAAGATTTTCCGAGGGACGAAGATTTCACGAAATTGGCAAAATTAACGAAATATTTGCACCTCTTTCTTACCCCGGTACTCTTGATGTC